TCATCAATTTGTTTATGACACCATTTCCAGTTGTTATAAATACATTGCTTGCAAATTCTTAAACAGAATGCATGAAGTTGCAGTCTGACATTTAACTCAAAAACCTGATCATGACACTTCATCAGACTTCCATAATCCCCCTCTTACCAGAGAGAAATATCCTTCACTTCACAGTCACACCTCATTTACATACATATTGTCGAAAGCTGGTGATGTTTGTGAACAACTGCTTTCAAGGATGAAACACAGGAAGAGTAAAGTTTCCTCAAAAATCTGATATACTCCTTGAGACCTCACTAAGAGTCGCAGCCACTGCCATTGAACCAGCTAATGGTTGCACAAAAACAGTCAAATATCTCACTAGTCTTTTGGTTTTTTCCTCTTTCTTAATGTTTTAAGAAAAATAAAAATTAAAATGCTTTGTTACCTATATGTTAACAATATTTTATGTTTTATGAGGGCTGCTCCAAAAGTAACGCTACTTTATGATGTGAGCCTTCAATGTCAGCTGCAGTTGGTGGTGGTATGACAACAAAGGTTGAAGCTTCCCACTAACATTCCTTTACTTTCCTTTGTGGTTACTTTGTGACAGATGGCAGCAAGGGGGTAGTCTGACATGGAAATACAGCTGAAACAAAAGGCATGCTGTTGATTTCCTCTAACAGCACCCATTGACATTCATGGATGCTAGCTGAGTGCATATGGAGACCAAATATTGGACATGAACACAGTGAGGAGGTGGTGTCGTGCTTCAGCAGTGGCAACAGTGAGTCACCATGGCTAGTGCAGATTTTCATTAGCACAGCACGCAGGCTGTTGTTCATTGCTGGTGAAAGATGCGTAGTTAATGGTGGTGACTGTCTTGAAAAGTTTCACAGCTGAGAATTTGCTCTATCAAATAATCTTATTGTGCTCTTTGAATTGGTTATATTTTCCATGGAAATAATTAGGAGGCATTACTTTCAGAGCAATTTCTGCAGCACAAGACACTTCCTCTTCATTCAATGTAGATCAGGAAAGCCAGAAGGTTGGACATCCATGAGTTAACAGACACATTCATAATCTGGTTTATCTTGCAAGAAATTGCTTTTATAAACTAACTCAACAGAAGTTAAGATTGAAATTAGCATCAGTGCTTTCAGTTACATCTTACTGAGCTGATTGTTCTGAATTTCCTCATGTTTCATAGGGTCAATATAAGAAAATGCTAATTAATTTCATCATAAGGTTTTTGAGATGTAGTTCACCCTAGCAACTCTACCTTCAGAAAGTCATCTATTTCTACTTAGACCTATCATTTGGATGCTCCAGGAGGAATCCTACTTTAGAATCACATCAGCTCCAACATTATGTTCCCCTGGGGGAAGGAAAAAGAGCAGTGTGTATAAAAGATGAGAATGCCAAGAGAAAAAGCAGCAGTAGTGCAGGGGCAGAAAAACAGAAGATCTGAGAGATACAAGAGAAAGGGAAGCAAAAACAGAAGGAAGATGAAGAAAAAAAAAAATCTTTCTTAACAGAGACTCTTCTCAGACTTTCTAAAGGGATATGATTCTAAAGTAAAGATGGAAGAGTAGTAGGAAGAGACACTGAAAAATCATTTAAAGAACAGAAAGAGTATCACAGTTTTTTGGCTTAAGACTCATTCATTTAAGGGGCAAGCTTGTGTCTCCCTGCCATCACCTTGGCATGAAGTTCTAAACATCAGCCTGAATTATCCTATTCCTTACCAGTTGTTCTCCTTTAATCCTAATGTGTTAAAAATATGTACGGCTCATGGCTTGACAACACTGTCCATCCTAAGAAGCCTTTCTCTACTCTGTGCACATACTATGTATGTATCCCTGCATACAACATTTACTCCTGATTAAAAAAAAAAAAATAGAACTTACCAATGCTTATAAATCAATTCTAAACAGAAAGAAACAATTTAATTGGAGGGAAAAGAAGAATACAGAAGGAAGACAAGAAATAGAACAAATAAAGAGAAAAAGTTGCAGGTGAAACTCTGGTTGGGGAAAGGCAAAGCGGCCATATGTTCTAGGTACAGTGACACAGGTGTCCCAGGAGATGAGCCCAGATGCTGTGTAGTATGCAACTGTGACTTTGTCATTGAGGGAGGTGAGAATAAGAAAGAAGAAAGAGGAACAGAAAGATTCTTTGTATTAAATACCATATTAATCTATTTATCCTTGGCTGAGACAGGAGCACAGCTAAGCATCATCCTAACTTCTGAGCTCACTGGTGTTCAGTGAATACAGTTTTTTAAGTTTCATCATATTTCAAGACATGTTTTGCAGTACATCTCAATCTGCACAGGTGCCACTTTCCTACCTGCTCTCTCCTTTACGTGGTCTTTACCATCTTTGGTATGCATCATCACTGAGCTGCTGCACTGCATTTTTGATTTCTTCCATCAGCTTTCATTTTGATTCAAATAGATCTGCAGCTATTGCCAGCAGTTCCATAAACCAGGTCTGGAATATTAACAAGGTCTTCTAATTTTGAAGAGGAGATAAGTAAGGTTTTCTTTATCACTGAGCACAGCGTTCTTGTGCTTTCAACAAGAAGACTCCCTCCCAGTACAGATCCCATATTTCTAAGTAGATTTCTAGAAATATGTGCGTATTGCCATCCAACTAAGTTTAGTTCTTGAAATGAGGGTTAAAAGCATTAATACTCCCCCAAAAAATCCCAGAGCATTTGACTACTTCCTCTCTCCAGCAAGAAGCTTATTAAAAGTAGCAACCAAGTAAAAAATTGTATTTTTCTTTATATTAATTTGAAGAGTATTCAAGTAATGGTGTGTTGGCCTGCAAAAATAACTTCATTACCTTCTCTTTTTAATCTGGGAGAGGAGTGGACACAGTGTATTCGTGCTACCAGATAAAAGTTCCTACTGGAATGATCTTCCTGAAACCTTTAATCAGCCCCCATGATATTTGGAATCATAGCCATGACTGCGCCAAGAGTTGTGTGTTCCTCTACAGTTCTTTGAGAGCCATAGGTCTTTGGGGTCAAGGTCCTAATTTAAGGAACCTACATTAAGAACTCAGTAGCTGAGGATATTAAATAGAATCTTTTCTTAAGTCAGCTGTGAAGAGAGTGATGGCCAGGGCATATCTGTACCCAAGTTCAGAGCCCGCAGTTTGAAGAGAATGTTCACAAACTGGAGATGGTCCTTCAAAGACAGGGGCATCACATAGGAGCCATCAGTGAGCAGTGAGAAGAAGCTGAGTGAGCTGAGTTAGTTCAGTTGAGCAAGGAAGAGCTAAGCAGTAATCTATTAGCAGCCTGTTGTTCTTGAATAGGAGCCATGCCACAAAGATGACAGACTCAATCTTTTCTCAGTAAGGACAGAATATATAACAAGGGGGGCAATGGACACAAATTTTGTTTAGAGGGGTTTGGATTAGACCCATGGAAAACTACTTTCAGAGGAGGACACCACAACATGAGAGTGGGTTCATACTGCTGTTCCCCCAGGGAGACAACAAAGTCTTCATACTCCAGGGTTTTCAAGACTCACCCAGAAAAAGCCATGGCTGACCCGATCCAGCAGCAGTTCCACTTCACATGGAAAGTTAAACCAGATGATCTCCAAAGGTCCCTCTCAGTGAGCTGAAAGTAAGAAGTGCTCTGAGACTACTTCAGTAGTGGCAGAGTAAATTTGAAGACATTATCAAGTAGCCAGCTGACACGAGGTAAGGTAACTATATGCAAGTTGTGCAACTCAGAATCTTTAATGACTGCTTCAGTAAGTCTTAGTGATATAAGGCACATGGATTTTAAATTGCATTAACCTTTCTACTACAGAGATGTAAATTGCTGCGGACTACTAGTGGATAACTTGCATTATAGATGTCCAGGCCAAGTTTCATTTATACATGAACACTGCTATTTCTCATCTTTATCAAGCTAGCATTTTTTCTTAAAGCTAAATTCAATTTTAAATAAAAGCACTGAAGAAGCAAACAAATTATCTCCATCTAAAAACAAAGCTTCCAAACACAGCCTCCAGAAGCGAATGGAGAAGGAAAAAAAAAAATTCAGCCAAGGGTAAGAAAAGAAAAATACTGATTAATGAGATTTGTTTGTTCTGGGGTGTGATCAAACAGACCAGCACCAACAGTCAATGATAAAAGGAGGCGAAGTGCTGCACAGACTGTTACATTCATCTGCTTAAAATTCGCATGGTCTGAGCACTAGAATAATTTGCTTCACACCATCTGGCAGATATAAGAAAAATGAATATGTAGTGGAGGAAAGGTATGAGGAAGCTTTCCACATTTTTTATAGCATGTAAAAATACTGGAGTTTGCAACATAAGTCACACATCGCTGTTCAGTATTTTAAATGCACAAGCTTTAAACAGTCTAACAAATGCTGATTTTTAAACTATACAGAAAAAACCTATAACATGAGTACAATCCAACTCTGTATTTGGAAGTGGAATATAATGGCTATGAAATGCAATGCAGAAAGCAAGTGCAATTATTACTTTCTGGACAGTGCGATTTGTACATTGCCCAGCACAGCGAGGATAACTGTCTCATGGCTCTCAGCTCCACTTGCAAGTTCTGCTAGCAACCTCCAGTGTTGTTCAAGAAGAGAGATTCCAAAAGAAGCACATACTCCTAGAAGATTAAAGCTGCTATGGGATACAGATATATAGATTGAACTTACATGTCTCAAGGAAGTATCAAGCCTTTTTTTTTTTTTCCTAAGTGTGTTTCTCCACAGGAAACACAGTATTCTTGCATCTTTCATTTTCATTGTTTGGTGTGTGGTTTGTGTAGCTTTTCCTCAGTTTTGGTCTGTTATCAGCCAAAACAAGGATTCATTGAAAAAAGTAATCATAAACTGACCTGGATGCAGTCAGGCACAACATATGTGTCTTCAATCAGCCACAAAGCTCAGGTGGACCTGAATGGAATAAAGTTGTCTCTTTTTTGCCATAATTTGTCCCTTAGCTATTAAAATAATTTTTTACATTGGAGAAATCATGTTGTTACCTTATTTTTTATTAGTGATCACATTACTAGCTATACAAGTTTTTTTCCTGTGGAATAATATTCTCACGTGTCAGAGCAACTACTCCATAAAGTTGTACTTTAGCTTTTGTCACTAAAGAGTACTTAGAAAGCACAGGAGATAGTATTGCACATGGTAAGCACATGTTTCTCTCACAGGAACACCAGAGGACCTGTAGGTAACAAGACAGAGAACAGAAGTTGAGTAACTGCTTTCTCTAAATTAAAATAGCTGTAGCAGAGAGACCTTGTCGCGCCTTTCAATATACTGGCTAAACACAGCCCTGTGAACAGGGAAAATATGCAGCTGTGCTTTCCATTTGGATAAAGGAACTTGACAATAAGTTTCAAGATTGCTGGAAAAAACATCAATTTTTTGGTTTATTTGCAACTCCATTTTCAGCTGACAAATAAATTACCTGAGGATTTTGAAATGGAATGCATGGAGCTGTAACCAGACACTCAACTTAAAAATCTAATTGTGTCTCTTCACCAAACATTAACAAGCCCTCTCTTGACAGAGAGAAATACCCCTCCCTTCACAATCACACCTCATTCACATCACTGCTTTTTAGTAATACATACATTTGTGAAAAAGTGTTTCTAAGGATAGAACGGAAGAAAATATTTTTTTTTTCCTGAGTTATTATATCTCTGGCAACCCCCTTGAGACCTCACTAGAGCTAGAGCCACTGCCATCAAAAAAGCTGATGCATCAGTTTCACAGAAACAGGCTCAAATATCCCCCTCATCTTACAGTTTTGTTACTTTCTGTAATGTGATTGAAATACAATGGAAAGCAAAAGACAGCAGAGCAGCAAGACCCCAGATTGCAGCAAGCAAGGATCCACTCAGACACAACAGCAGTGGGCACAGAAAAAAGTAGAAAGAGGAAAAGGGGGGGGGGGGGGAAGGAAGAAAACCCAAACCACAAACTACCTACCTTTAGAAGGATCCAGGTATGCAGAGATCTCCAGCAAGACACCCTTACTGCCACTGCCAGCCCTTAAATGAGGTCTGGGAAGGGGTGCATCCTGGCTCCACCCCTTCCAGTCATTCAGGTTCATTGCATGCACCTGAGCTCCCCTGGGTTGGCCCTGCCTTCCCACTAGGTGCTCCATAACTCATTCGGGCCATGACTGACACCTTCTTTTTGGTATTAATAAGCATATTAATTATAAAAATAAGCGTTGTTAAATATATACATTGTATTCTATATTTTATGAGGGCTGCTCCAAAAGTAATGCCACTTATTTTATGATGACGGCCCACAATGCCATCGGCGACTGTTGGTGCTATGGCAGCAGAGGCCGAACCTTCTCATCAATGGTCCCTTGCATGTTGTTGCCGTGTGACAGATGGCAGCAGAGGGGCAGTCTGACAAAATGGTGTCTGACACAGAAGTGCGGATGAAGCAAAGGTGTGTCACTGAATTCCACCATGCAGAAAATAGCTCCCACAAACATTCATTGGCTCCGAACGAAGACCAAACAGCGGATGTGAGCACAGTGCAGCAGTGGCAATGTGTTTCAGCAGTGGTGACAGCAACAGCGGGTCACACCCACTGGTGTAGATTGTTACAAGAGCAGCATGCAGGCACTTGTTCATCACTGTTAAAAACACCTGGCTAATAATGGTGGCTGTGCTGGAAAAAAAGAGTACTTTGTAGCTGAGAATTTGCTCTGTCAAATAATGTTATTGAGCTCTTCGTATCAGCTGTTTCCATGGAAATAATTAAGCGGCATTACTTTTGGAGCAGCCTGGAAGACATGGCCCTCAACAGCTTCTCTTCAGTCAGAGCAGCCCAGCCAAGCCGAAGGGTTGGACCCTCCTGAGGTAACTCTTGTGCAAGACTCCCTATTCTGTCAGCACATCTCAGTCACCAGCGTTTCCTTTTCTGCAAGCTGCTGCGAGGCTGGTTAATTACAGAAATACTGCTAGGCAGTGCTGTTACAGTGTTGCAAGGCAGTCATAGAGGCTGAAAAAGCATTTTTTCTTTTAGGCTTCTGTTAAGTGGCTTATAATAATTTCAGAATGCAACCTTTATAGCCCAAATTCATTGTGCTTGCATTCTATCCAAAGCTAATTTAATTAGTTTTAGCTTTAATTAGTTCCAAACCCAAAATAAAGCAGAACCATATCAATTGTTCACCATGTTTTGTGTTGGCTAGGTGATAAAGGAGTACTTTTCTATTACTATAACATTTGAATAATTATTTCTGCAACAGAAATTTTTGTTTTATTTCATGCATTTACTTCATTTGCTACATGCAGCCAGGTGCTGCATGTCACAGCTGAAGGATAGCCTCATTGCATGCAACCCCTTTTCAGACTTCTCTGCCACTCGCAGTTGAACAGCTTTCTCTCTCAGGAGGCTCTGATAGCAATGAGCATGTATTGGCTTCTCCTGTCTCAGCTCTGTGTTCTGACTCTCACTAGAGCTATGACATCAGCAAGTGTTGAGCAGAGAGCATTCTTACAGTCACTAAATAGAACACTAGGGCTGAAGAGCCTGTTACAGTACAGCTTACTACATTTACTTCTGAAATATGCTTCCTTATCACACTTTGGAACATCTAGGGATTGTACAACTGCTACTTGAGAAACACTCTCTGTGGGATCATCTACAGTAGGGATTTCACTCAGTCCTGTCGAAGTAAGGGTCAAACAGCAGATAGCCCATCCACAGTTCTGAGATGGCTGCTGCTTCCATCTTAGCCTCATGGTAGAGAATGGAGTTTGGAAAAAAAAAAAAAAGAACAAATAAATAAGAATGGATCAGAAAAAGGAATTAAAAAAAAAAAACAAACTGGGAAAGAAAATCCTCACCATTATTAGATAATTACCATCTTTAACTAGTTACAGAATTGGAACATTGCTGAGATACCCATCATTCTTACTGTAGTTTATAAAATCATCACTTGCTGTCATGGTTTTTTTTCTTTTGCTTCTCTTCTCAATTTCCTGTGCCTGTAACATTCATTCCATCTGTATGACTATCTATTTCATCACTTTTTTATGACATCAAGTGTAATCTATTATACATACAACTAATACATATTATTTCTAATCGTTAATTTTCTTTTAACACTAAACCAGGATGACATTTAGTCAAATATTTTCTTGACTGTGAAACTGATTACTTTGGCCACTGTCTGAAATACATGCATGCCTTTAGAAGGCCAGGAGTAAATTTTGAAGGAAACTTCATTTACATCAACAAAAATATTGCACATATTTTATCTGAGATTAAATGAAAGACAAATCTAACTGTCTGTTTTGTACAATGTTTCCACATTTCATTGCATCAGAATGATGTCAGGGAAATAAATCTGTGGGTGAAAAAATTTAATTACCTATTAAATACAGTTTGTATTGTTCTAAGTGTAAAATATGAAACCAATTATTAAGAATCATTAGTATTATATGATAATTAAAGTCTATATGTAACTGAGGATTTCTTATCTTCAAGTTTACTGTAGAGAGCTCATTGGATTTCTAAAACAAATCATTGGGGACTGGACAAATGATATTTACACTCTTTTAATTACCCACTGAGATTAGTGTTTGCGGTCTGTGTAAGTAGGTCAGAAACACGGTGATGGAAATTAATTGTGCTATGGAACAGCAATGATTCATATATTTCCTAGTCATAATTCTAGTAGCATTTTCAAGATAAGCCTCCTTAAATAATTTATTTTTACGAAGATCTATTAACAACATTAAAAGGATGCTTAAAAATCTGAACAAAACCACTCACAGGAGAAGCCATTCCACCCTGCACCTATCCAGTTTTACTTTGCTGTACAATTGTTACCATTTCTGGAGATATGCAAAGTCAGCACTCTGTTGCATGTGCCGTCTGCCACGATTGTACGCTGTTAGCTGATCTTCTTCAAGTAGAACAAATGGGAAATATGTCAATGTTCTGAGCCCACTTTCAGTAGAAGCAGGCAGGATTTGAGCCACTTGCGGGCACACCCATGTTGTTCCTTCTTACCACGCTCCGGAGTTCGGTACTTTGCCGTGTTCTTGGTCTCAGACACTTACAGCAATGCTGTACAACGCAATGCTCTGCAAATGTCAGATGTGCTGCAGCTCCCGACTCCCCCTCCTACTCGTTAGGCTCGAAGTCACGCAATTTTAAGGAATTACCAACTGGCACGGGTTTATTCTTTCATTATGCCCATTTGTTTTAGTTATTGCATTAGTTCCATTTCCACAGTCATAGTTACACTAGTGTATCGGCATTTCCCACTTCGGTTGTTTTTAGTGCATTAAAAATTAGGCATAAATATTGTTTCATGATCAAATTTGGCATAACTTGCTTTACAGGTCAAGCAAACACATTTTTCTTCCACAGATTAAAAGCAAAATCTGCTTGATCAAATTCAAGCTATTCCATTAGTTGGAAAACATTTAGGTTTATTAATTTGGAGACATTGTGCCAAGTTCTGCTCTTATTTATACCACTGTTAATCCAGAGTAACCCAACTTTGTTCAGTAGGTTAGTTTGAATTTATACTTGTTTCTATAAAAACAGTAAAAAATTGGTCCCTCTAAGCTAGGAAAAAAAAAAAAAAAAGTAGAAGAAAAAGGAAAGAAAATAAACACTCATTAGAAAACACACAACAACAGCAAAACAAATCTTGCCTGCCTGCTTATTTAGGGGTCCAAATGAGTTGGTATACAATGCTTTGCTGCTTCAATACCTGCCCCAGGAAGGGAGGCAATGGCAAATGCAACTCTCACTGACACTTCTGTGTTTCCAGTTTAGCTACACATCTAATTTATTTGTATATGAATTACCGAGTAGCACAAGGAAACTAGTGTCTCAAGGAGAAAGGCTGCCTCTCATGTGTAAACTTTAACCTATTTCACACACAGAATCAGTGATTTACACACAAGGAGAGTTTCTGCACTATGGTCATCCACAAACCATTTGTATCACATGGAAACTTCAAAGTTTAAGTGTTCTAAAACCTGACAACATTTATCTGGTGCTCAAAGCATTTTACAAGGCCAAGACCTGCCATCCTCATGTCTTCTCAGCCACATCTGTTGCTCAAAAACCCAGTGCTGTAAGAGCTGCTTTAAATGATGTTTTAGAACGCTTTGATCCAGGTGATGTATCTTAAAGCTGGGATTTCTGAACAAGGTCAATCGAACACATCATGTTGGAATAGCTCTTTGGTAGGTTTTTAAGGTTGCAAATACTGATGAGCTGTTCCCAAGGAGGTCTCCAGACAGTGTACTATACTCAGAGGATTTCAGGATTCCACAGCTGTGTAAATCTTTAGTTAAAATTCCTCTGTGCATGTCTTGAGTTAGGCTGTGGTGTTCTCCATTCAGGAAGGTTGGTTAACTGCTCTTCCCATCTCCTGCCTGCTGGCTTTACCGAGTGATAGCAACCACTTCTACTGCTGAGCTGCACTTTTGGCACCTTTTTGAATTTCTGCATAGTCATATATCTCTCTGACAAGGATATCCCTGCCACCTTCTGTTTGATGGCTGTGCCACTGATGGATTCCTTCTCCAAAACCCAGCAAGGAAACCCTTCCAGCTCAAATGAAGATCAATCGCACCATGCCTGAAGTTTTGATAAATACTTTTCATCATCCAATAATGACTAATTGCTTCAGGAGAGCACAGTAATTCTGATGACACTCATTTATCAGGTAAGGGAGAAGAGAAACTTGGACCTTTATAGCAAAGTCAGTCATTCCATTTTAGCAACCATATTTTACTTTATACAGTGTAGGTCAGCAAAGAGAGCCTCTCCTACCCTGTTTAAATTAATAGATAAGCCTTTCTGAAGACGAGGAGTGAGTAGCATGAATGTTGTACAAAAGGATGCATTTTTTTTACACAGCCTCTGTCCTTACCTAGTTCATCTAATATTGATGATGATTATTCACAGGAAAAACCACAGTGCACTGTCAGTTAAAGGAACTGTTTCCATGTCTGCAAACAATGCTTTTCAGTCTTGTTGCTGTCTCCTGAAACCTACCTGTCTAACGTACCCATGAGTATTTTGAGATACTATATTATACATTCATACCCATGGGAGAGAGATCTCATTTGGGGGAATACAGAGCTGGGAGTTATGCTTCTCTCAGAACTTACCCAGAGAATGGCCCTCTTGCCAGTTGTCTCTGCCATGCTGGGGACCTTCCCGAAGGCCACAGCTCTCCCTTCCTCCTGCAGGACATGCTGGTCCTACCTATTGCTCTGGTGGGCCTGCAGGTAGAAGTCCTGCAGAAGGAAAAGAGGCACAGAGGCAAGTTTTTGAGACAACAAGAACCCAAGAACATACAAAGGCCCAAATATGGTGTCACTGGTGGAAGTACTGGAGGGACCTCACAACCCTCTTCCTGAGGGACATGGCAGATGTCCTTCCGTCCCTTCTGCAAGCATTTGTGAACCAGTAGGTACCAGGTGCACCTTACGGACAAGTGGAAAATATCTGGTACAGATCTTTCCTCCCTCAGATGTGTACTCTGTCAGTATTAATGAAATACTGAGCCTATGAACTTCTGAACTGATTGACTGCCTCTGTTTTCCAGAGTATTTTGTCATGATATCGTATCAGGACTTTCTGTGCTGGCTTTTATCAGCCACACTTCAAACAACAGCAAATTAAATCTCAGCATTTTCCTCACATTTGGGGCTTCTGTTTGCAGTCCAGCAGCTGAAGATTTTCCTGCACTTATCCTGCCTCTCTCCTGGAGATCAGCAGCAATGGCAGAACAGGCCTTGTGTCTGCTCCTACAGGCTGCAGGAAATGGGCTGGTGTATTCATTTCAGCCACCAGTGCTTTAGTACATGCTGTAGATCAGTGCTTCATGCTGAGTGCAAGCCATGGGAGCAGATAACCTATTCTGTCTTTCTTGTGATGCAAAACTATAACTTATGTCAGATGGTGTAGCAGTCAGTAGGGTAATGATCTTGTAGTTACCTGTGCAGGACTAGAGGATCAGAACTCTTGCATGTAAGTGGGAATGAGCGATTGTCTCTTTGGTTAGTTCACTAGTGAATTCCACTCTTCCTGCTTATATACCTCTAGACGGCTTCCAGATAATTGACTCAGCTAGTACCTGCAATGTTTCATGCATATAGGTTTGATGGAAATACTTTCAATTTTAGAGCTGTGGCCATTTTGGTTGAAAGCCTCTGGGACAAACCTGCTTTGCAGTGAAGGGAGAAGAGGTTTCATTTGACCTCTTCCTTAGTAGCCAGTTCTCCATCTTCATCTAAGCAGTCTCCATGGGGCTTTGAGCTGCCACCTGCACTTAGAAAATCTGGGCCAGATTTCAGGTGCTATGGATTGTTGTCACCCTGGAGGTCAAATGTCTATAAGAGAGAAGCATCTATAGCAGGAATGCTCTTAAGGTATACAGGTACGTCACATACAGTGCTGCCTTTGTTACATCTTGATAATATATTTGCCACTTTTGCTTTAGGCAGTAGCTGATAAGAACTTAACTTGTCCCAAGACAGTTCTCGAAGCTGGCTCTACGTACATAGATATATAACTCACTTGTTACCATTAACACAAAAGAGCATACTGATGAGTGCGTTCAAATTCCAAGACCTGGGTTTTTCTTTCTACGGCTGCTGGTTATCATTCTCAAATCACCCCAGCATTACTAATAGCACTCCTCAGAAGCCAGCCTACAAAATTCTGATCCTTGATAACTCCCCATTGATGTTATAGGAGATACAGAGGAGAGCAACAAAAAAAAAGATTGCATGCATGAATATTCCTATTTCCTACTTTAATGATAAATACATAGATAACTAGATAATTCTGATGGGCCTACCAAGACAGTGACTTTAATGGTTTCTTGGTGGAATGGCATCTAGCTTCAGATGCCGGCTCAGAGAGATACTGCCTTCATTGCAACCCCAGTCCTCTGCAGAGAGAGATGCTGAACACCTAGTTCTTAGTTTGGTCATCACAGTGGTTCATAAGAAGCAAGAAAGCAAGGCTGAAGAAGCCAGTTAAAGAACTGAGCAAGACCATGGTGTGAGGTTTATTTCCTTCTTAAGTTCCCCTTGCTTGTTTAGTCCAGTTTTACCGTGGAAAGCAACAACAGTTATGTACCTATGGTTAAAGCAAGCATAAGTGGTTGATTCAGTATATAGACCCCAGGCCATCCAGATACTTGAATATAAACAAATATCATTTGTTTATGACAAATGAAATGACAACAAAAACTAACACCCCTGATGGACATTTAGTACCCTTCCCTTTTTTGCCTCATAAGCCTGCTGAGCATACATAAACACACTACTATCTGTGCACAGTTGTTACTGTAAACTTGAACGTGTGTTAGAGAACAGAAGGTGTATTTGGTTGCATTTCTTTGTGGTGGATATGTTAGCAATTTGCACTGGCTTCATTCACTGCAGTATCAAGAACTAGAGCTGCTTCTTCTCTTCCTAAACAAGAAACACAGCTCTAAGCTAAAGGGAGTCAGTCAGTGCTTTTCAGGCAAATTAGATAAATGATCAACACTTGGCAGCTGGTTTCTTTGTTTTGTGGTGACTTTTTCTAACATTATGCCTCATATTTAGAGCTGAAAAATGAAAGAGGAAGAAAACTTTGAATAGCGTCATCTTGAAGTAGTCACGTCTAAGGTGCAGCGGGTGCATGTATTTATGGCTGAGGCTAACTATTCAAGAAAGGGCACTTTCAGTGCAAGCTGACTCTGGTGAAGCAGAAGATGGCAGTGTCCCTAGCTTCATGGTAGTTTGCTCCTGTTTTGCAACAGCTCTTTCTAGCTGGAGAATCAGCTACAGCCGTGATAAATCAGTGATAAAATAACCAGCAGAGGAGGGGTATTTCTGAGTCTGCCAGACTCCAAAAAGTTGGTGCCAAGATGTTATATCAGGAATATCATGGTTCAGTACAAAACACTGCAGAGCTGTTCACCTTTATATTGCCCTCTTCCAAATGGAAAGGATATAGCACAGGCTGAGATGCCATACTCTGTATTTGCAGTCTGTAAGTTGGTTTGCTCTACCTATATATTGATGCAAAACAACTTATGTGTTCCTATATTTGTGTTGTTGTTCTTAGTCCTTCCTTGTTAAAGATGTCAGTTTTTCCACGACCTTCTGATTCTGGGATTTATTGTCCAAATTCCTTTTCTTCTCTGAGGGCATATCCTCTTTAATTTGTTATTGTGTTCTGGTTTAAAAACCATAAAAAACTCCAAAAGAAAAAGCTTTTTTTGTCTACATTTACTTTCCATACTTATATGCACATCATTTTGCCACAGCATAGATGGGCTTGTGTTTCAAAATGATGTGTTTTATGGATACTTACTTCTTGTGTCTGAAAGAATCCACCATTCCTCGTTCTTAATTTCTATGCTCACAAAATCAGGCTGTTTGGTAAACAGACTTTTTGTTGCACAGCATTTTCTGCAGGTGACAGCTCTGCGTGGATGGGTACCAAATTCCTCAGCTTCTTATTTAAAGCATTATTTTAACCACGTCAATAATATCTTCAACAGAACCAGTGGCTCTTCTTCCCTTGGAGGAGAGTACCTGTTACTGTGTTCTTCTGATAAATATTTAAACACAGGACTATCAACTTACAACTCAGTATTTCTTAGTGAAAGTTCTTTCTGGCAGTGCACCTCAGATTACCCATGTTTAATTCTCTTCACAAACAAACAAATTGTGCCCAATAGCACTAATAATCCCAAACCACCACCTATTTATCTCCAGTGCAAAGGAAGATCCCATGGCAGCCTTACACCTAAAGCTAATCTTATAGTTCCTGGAACTGTCTCCCCAGGTTTTTCACTCAGCTACTTTTGACCAATAGATATTTGAAGCATCCAATGATATTTCTTGCATCCCTACATAGCACAGTTCCAAACTACAGTCTAGATTTTTCCATAGGTAACCTATAGAGCAGACACAGTATTTTGAGCTTCAAGGATTTAGGAACAATCCGTTTATACCATTCCAACACGATTATTACAGGCATGGCGTGTATGCTGCTTAGAACAACCAGTACTGATAGCCAGCATTACTTTTCTTAGAATCAGGGAACTGCAAAATGACTTGGGCTGGAGGGGACCTTAAAGACCATGCAGTTCCAAACCCTGCCATCATCAGAGACATCTTACAATGCATCAGGCTGTCCAGGGTCCAACCAACCTGGCTTTGAACACTTCCAGGGATGTGGCACCCACAGCTTCTCTGGACAACTTTCTTTTTGCAAGACTCATTATACTGTGTCTCCTGCAATCAGCTCCTCTTAAATGCTGAAAACCTTTTGACCACTACTGTATAGGAAAGGCTGTCCTAAGCCAGGCCGCAAGTCAAACTATTCTGCCTTCTGTGGGCTATAGCATACGAGAGGAATTGCAAGAATAGGACAAATGGGGCAGCAAACACTGCTAAGAATACTCTTTAAAGCCTTCCCCAGCGTCTTGAGCCAGCCATGGAGTTTGTGTTTTCCACATTTCATTTTATCATGTATTACTGGAACCATACTCACTATATAATCTGAAATAATCTCACATATCTCTGTCCAGTTTACATTTTGCAGGCTTTTTCTTTGTAGTGCCTATTTTTGCCCTGATACTGCATGTGACTGTCTGATACTATCTACTGTGGCAGCCACTTTTCAAAACTCACAGCCTGTCTGAGCACACATTTTGCTAGTTTTCATATGGTTTGGTTCTCAGATGGGTGGAGGCAAAGGCCTTGGAAGCAAAGTTGCAAGGTGTGTTTCTATGGCAAGATCCAATCTCTTTTTCTTACAGGCACAGTTTAAGACAAATGAATCTGGATCTTGATGTGCAGTGAAAGTGCTGCAGTCTGGATCATATCTCTTTGAGGGCTGTGCATCCTCACTGATTGCTTTCTGCCTTTCACATCATGTACTAATAAACAAGAACAGGGAAAATATTGAGGAAGATGTATTACATCTCAGACTACTCTGTAATCTGCCATCTCCAAACATCTCTAATGCTGGTCCCTGCCAGCAGCATTAGCTAACACATCAGTATTCCTATGCAAAAATAGGAACAGCAGCTCAGTATTGTGGTGCAGATATCAGCAGATGTTTCTTTAAAAAACTGAGAGTGGATCAGGAAGAAAAAACATTGTGTAACCTTTGTGTGGCTTCAGATTCCCATTCTGCAAAATGTGAATTGCAAAACTGAGCTCCGCTTGAAAGAAAAATTATAAGCTTAAGTAATTCATGCAGTGTAATTCATCAATATCAG